CCAATGTGCAACTTTACAAATCATTTTACAATTTCTCAAACTCATCTCTGCATATTATACTTATAGGCCACCTCTTTAAATCACTTGCTTTAGTCTGGCCCAACCTTCTGAATCTTAAGGATTATTGTTGGCTTTTGAACATACTTGTTTCAGTTCTTTTTTCCCCATCTTATCATGTTTATTTGAACTGGTTCTCTGTTTATCTTTTTGTTACTATTTGTTCTGTGCCTACAGTTGATTCTACTGATTATCTGTCCTTTAAATTTTTCCTTGGTGGGAAAATGTGAGCTAGTCAATTCCAGTAAAAAAGACTATCAAGAATAAGATCCGGGAAAATATATATTTTTTAATTTGTAAAAGCTGCCCTATAGATTGTCTGTGTTCTAATTATAAAAGCTATAATTAAGAAAGAAATCCCAGTATTTACATTGCAACTCAGCACCACTTCTTGCCAATCAGTTCACATGAAAACTGATAACATTTCCACTGGAAAATGTCTGAATATACTTTGACAGGCTTCGAGAAGCAAGATAAACCTTACCAAATCTTGATTCGAAAGCATAACATTGCAATAGTACAACATGTGACAGTGCAGGAAAAACACAGGAGACTGCCAGAAAGCAGGCAGAAGAAAATGATATTTTTATACATGCATCTCAAGTTTAAGAACACAAATGAGCCTAATTACAGAAGATGGCTGGCATATTTTGACAGTCTTGGCTATTATCACATTGTCACATTATAAACTTCACTGTGTTCCCTGCCATAAATTGTATGCTGCTTTTCAACCATAATTCATGATAAACTTAAAAAAAAAAAAAGAATGCCTATGAAATAGAGAAGATAACACTGTAACATTGCAAACATGAAGAAAAACTCTTCTTAAATTAGAATTAGAAATGTATTAGTGTGCTTTATAGCCTTAAACATCCTGTCATGATTTAAAAATTAGGTGTCATTTCATCCCTAAGCATTTTTGCGCCTAGTTGACCTGTATGGACTCTATCCCCTATATCCATATACACAGGGCATGACGGATGCTTCAGAGCCCCTGTCTATAGACCCATAAGAAGGAAAGGTGCCTAAAGCAGAGTCTTGGGCTCAAAACTCAGCTTTCTGCATCTCAAGTCAGTATTTCTAAGCACAATAAATTGAAAAATAGTAATAATTCTGAAACTAGGCTGGACATGGCAGCTCATGCCTGTAATCCCAACACTTTGGGAGGCTAAGGTGAGAGGACTGCCTGAGATCAGGAGTTCAAGACCAGTCCAGGCAACATAGCGAGACCTCATCTCTACTTAAAAAAAAAAAAAAAAAAAATGCAACTACAGAAGACTTCCTCTTATAGAAAGAAAGTAAAGGTTTTTCTATCTGAGCCATTTTCCTGTCTTTAACGTAATTATCGTCAGTCTCAGATCTCAAAGTTTAATCTAGGCACTCCAAAAATTTACTGATACCCAGAGATGCCTCTAAGGCATTGATAAATTTTAAAACCTTTGCAAACGTAACAAAATATACTTTAGAAAAATCCACAAATTATAATTTTTGCAGCGGCATCTTTCTGATACTGGGCATGAACTCAATACTTTGTTAGCCAAAAAATGACTTACTTTATACAAAATTTCAATGTGTAATATCATGTCATCTGAACAAGAAATATACTTAAGTATTCTCCAGTTTTATTACAGATTTGGGTAGTGTTATTACAACTCAGACCTACTCTTTCTGCTTGTATTGTCAGGGACTGAATGTTTACGTCCCTAAAAGCTGCTATGTTGAAATTCTAACCCCTAAGTTGATGGTTTCTGGAGTTGGGGCCTTTGAGAGAAAACTGGGTTATAAAGGTGAAGCCCTCCGAATGGGATTACAAGTGCCTGGTAAGAAGAGATCCAGAGATCTTGCTTCTTCTCTGCTCTTTGCCATGAGAGGATATAACCAGAAAGCAAGCCCTCACCAGATACCTGATCTGCTGGCACCTTGATCTTAAGATTTCCCAGCCTCCAGAACTGTGAGAAATAAATGTTTGTTTAAACCATCCAGTCTATGATAATTCGTTATAGCAACCTGAACTAAGATATCTAATCATATCAACCAAAGAGAACAATATTCCCATACTTTATGATGATCATTCCTTATGATATAACAAAATTCCCAAGTCCTTCCTGTGATTATTCTGATTAAAGTTAAGTTGAATTTAGTATGGAATGTCATGGGGTATAGGTGCATATCTATATAGAAACTGGCTAGGGGATACCTAAAGTATTGTCATGCCAGTAGCTTCCCCCAAATTATCATTCAAAGCTTAAAATTAATGCTTTTAGAAAACAACCAGAGGCTATGCAAGCCAGTAGGAGAAAAAGAGATATATGAAAATTAAGCTTTGATATCCCAAAGGACAGGAAAACCTCTACCTCAAGCAGGAAATTTAAGCTAATCTCTGATCTTCCTTGGTTTCTGATAAAGGATTTATTTTATATGAAGTCCTCTGATCTTTCATTTTCAGTCTCATAAATGGGAAGTTGTTGGCCAATACAAGCATATATACGTGCACACACCAGTAGCTAATTATTTAAAACACAGGTATTGAGATGCAAACTAGAAGGCATTCACAACTATGAAACAACCAGAGAAGAGGCTCTCTAACCTATCTTCCCTCTATCTTTTTTATAAACTGTGGGAGAATTTTGAGAACATGATTAGGGAACAGGATATATTTCGTTCATCTAGCATTCATGAGAAGTCTCCTCATGGGTTACTAACCATAACGAAGAATACAGTATTAGCAACTAACTTATGTAATAATTTATGGGTTAGGCAGGCCTATACACATGAAGTGATTACAGTTCAATAGATGTGTTTACTTCCATAGCCTAATAATTATGGTCACTGAGATTTACTCTGCTATAGAACACATATAAATAGAGAAGGCTGATAAATAAGGATTGGTTTCTATGGAGTAACATGGGCCTTGGAAAATAGAACACAATTCCTGATTTCAGAACTCTTGTTCTGAAAACTCTTGAAGGAAAAAGGGAAATTATGAGGCTCTCAGAAATCAAAACATAAAAATAAAACGTAAGTAAAACCATGTTGAAAGAAATCCAGAAGAGAAATTATACAATCTAACCTCTTCACCCCAAATCAGTTCCTCCTTTTTCTTGCCACTCCAACATTGATGAAATGTAGAGTAATTGAAATTTACTCTGGAGATACAGCAAGGGACTCCAAAAGGCCATGGAGAGAGAATTTCAACTAAAATTGAAAAGCCATACAGAGATCTGCATTAACAAAAAGGAAAAGAAAAAGAAAAAAACACATACCACAAATCAAAACCTTTAGGATAAAAATTTAATTAGCATCTACAGGTTGAATCAGCTAATAACTTACGCCAATCTTATTACCATCAGCTGAAAAGAAAAGGAACTGACGGATAATCAAAGAACAAAGCAGTAGCTTCACTTCAGCAGAAGCTCCATTGGCTCACCAAAAAATAAAGTGCTGGTGTGACTACCGTTTTTTCATTGGTGGATTCGTTTTTGGCAAGATTTTTAACGTCTTTCTAAATTTAAGTTATTAACTTCATTTTGTCACAGTACACTTCTAAAACGGTCAAGCTTAGTACTGCTGAACAGCTACAGTTGCATAAAAACAACGCATTAGTTCTATACAGGGAAATGGGAAAGGGCTTAAAAAAAAAAAAAAAAGCACACCCGATAAGGGCTGAATCCCATCTTTCTTATTCTCTTTATCACAACACAAAACAGTTAAGGTTTTCTTGGGAAACATCCTGGACTGCTAGGGGAAAATAACACCAGACATTTCAGTTCACTGTAACGAACGCTCATCAATAATAATAACCTCTAGTTGTGTTAAAAACACGACATAAATCAAAATTAAATTGAATTTTTAAAATTGTTAGCTCAGACGTTAAAAAAAAGTTGTTTAAATAAGTTAAGTTCTTTCAAAACTGAATTTCCTCAGATCACACAATTTGAGGCACCTTTATTTCTTCTCCTGCTTGTCACACCTCTTTCGGGCTCTGACCAGCACATCAAGGGGATTCTATGTAGGCCACGTGGTTAGTGTTTGCTAGAACTCGTTTAGCTTCAGATCACTTATGGAGCATGCTAGGCTTGGCTACTCGTACTCCACACAGTTGATCCAGAGATCTAAACCCCGAATGAACCTGAATAGTTACTTACTATAATTCCCTTCCCAAATCTCACATGCTCCCTAAATAAGGGTGTCCATGCAGTAGAAACGGATCCTGGCAGGATCATTAAAGACATTAAACGTCCTTCTCCTAACGAGCAGCCTGGGACCGGCGTCGGGGCAGCAGCCTAACCAGGATTCCGCGCGTCATGCTCGCCAGGATTCGAAACACCCAGGAGACCCGCACCCGGGCTGACTCGCAGCCCCTGGGACCCCGAGAAGACGCAAACCTCGGAACGCTTCCCGCACAACCACCTGTCAGAGTCAGGCAGCGGTCCCTGCCCCGAAGCCTCCCAGCTCCTGCTCGACGGCTCCGACAGCTGGAGAGCCCGCTCCCTCCGGGTTCTCGCGGCCACAGGCGCCGCTACCCACCATACTCCGGCCAGGGAGGTCCCGGGCCATCACCTGCTCGCATAGCGACCACGCCCGTCCCTCGGCTGAACTGAGTCTCCGGCCGGATCAGCCGGCCCGCCGCGAACCCAGCTCTCGCCTCCAGCCCCTCCTTCTTATCCGCCCTGTCCCGCCGTGTCGCCGCCGTCGGAGCCGGCAGCCTGCTACTTACCTCCTGACAACTGCACCGAATAAACCCCACCGCCTTGTTCAACGCCGCCGCCGCCGCCGCCGCCGTTTTAGTCACCGTCGCAGTCGCCGCCGCCATATTTGTTGTGTCTCCGACTACCTTCCCGCCCCCCGCCTTGCTCAAGTCTCGCGTGAGCAGGACGGAGGGCAAAAGCGAGGAGGGGCCTGTTTGTCTCTGTTGGGGTTCCGTAGGCAGCAGTGGGTAGGGATTCAGGTAGGTGTGTGCGGGGCGGGTACTGAATGGGTGGGGCCTTGCTCCGGCAGCTCTCTGGCGCTGGCTACCGACCTAGCGGCGCTGAGCAGATTGTGTCTATCTGGCCTGCTGCATGGATGGAAGGCCTGGCAGTGCGACTGCTGCGCGGCAGCAGACTGGTGAGTGCTTTCGAGGCTGGCGTCCTGGAGGCCCCGGGCGACCTTGGCCCCTGGCATTGCAGCTGGCAAAGCCTTCTAACTGGCCTCGGGGCGCCGGCCTGAGCTCTGCTCCATGTCCTGGGCCCATTTCCCCAGACCCTTAACCCGCGGGCATCCCACGACCCCGACCCCCTTCAGGCCTCTGGCACAGCTGACCTTCGCTTCTCTAGAGAGGGCTGGGGGCGGCAGCTGGTGGCAGGGGGCCGGGGGCTGTCTAGAAGCTGCTTTGGTGAAGCAGGCACCTTGAGTGGAGTCGGAGGCCTGCGTCGGCAAATGTCCTTTGCAGGCCTTTGGGTCCTGAGAGCCACGGAGTCTCAATCTCTGGATGTCTGGGTGCATTTTGCGCAGGTGTCACCTCCCTGATGCCCTAACCCACCTTTCCCCAGTGATTACATTTCACACCCCCTCCCCTGCAAGAAAAGATTGTTAAAAATAGGCCCAATCTCATTCTGAGCAGGGTGTCTCCCTGTCCTCCCTTCCGCGCCCTGCTCAAAGGTAGGAAGGGACGTCAGGGTTGTTCAGGCTTCTCGCCCAGGGAGAGTTCCCTCTGCCCCTTACCTCATGTCTGGAGCCTGGGTATCTTCCGTGGATAGACTCACCGCAGCCCAGGGGAGCCGGTGCCGGTCCGTCTTCCATGAACTTAAGCTGAAATCAGCCTCCTGTTGTGTTTAGTTCTGATCTCTGCACCTACACAAAATGTTGGTTCTTTAACAGTCCTTGTGTTAAACGTCTCTGCCCTTCACCCCTTGGACCGATTATATAGCATGCTTTCCAGAACATACACATTTGTTTACACTTGTGTTTGTCAGTACACTTCACTGGCAATTTCCCCAGTGCTTACTGTGGTTTTCATATTTGCTTTAATGAGTCGGCTTTCCAACTGCTGTTTCAGTCTTATGCCCAGAGGCGGGACTCTCACATTTTCTTATTAGAGATAATTAATGTTATTTGACTCTTACAGGCCTGAAGTGCAATAAAAAATCGTAAAGTTATGTCCTTATGATGATTGTTTAATGCTGTTTATAATTGTTGGTTAATAACTTACAAAAGAAAATTTCCTTGGTTTTACAATTTGACTATTTTCCAGCCAAAATTTATTGACCAATTATATTTGGTAAACACGTTCTGTTCTACCTGAGTCATCTCAGTTCTCATATCCAGCTTAACAAGTAGTTTAATCTTGCAGATTAAACTTTCAGAGGTTTGTGCTGAAAAGATTAATAACTTGACCACAGATAGAAAGTGATAGAGCTGGTATTGGAACTCTGGTCTGATTCTAAACTAAACCTTCATATACTACTGTTTCTCCTTCTTAGAGATATCAAAAACCTATATTGTTTGCACTTTTGGTTTATTGTGGCTTATAGTCCTTTACAGTTTTTGAAGCTCTTTTACATAAATTAGCTAAATTGATTGAATGTTGACTGTAGCATCGTGGTTAAGAACGTGGGTTCTGCAGCTAGGCTGCTTGGGTCTGAACCCAGACCCTCTCACTCCCTAGTGGTATAACCTTGGACAGCTTTTGCTTTGGGTCTTGGTTTCCTGATCTGTAAATGGAGAGAGTAATTGTGCCTATTCCAAAATTGTTGTGATAATTAAATGAGTTCATATGTTCACGTAAGGCACTTAGAATAGTACTCAGCATATGGTCAACTCTTGGTAAATGTCAGCTCTCACTGCCATGTACAAAGCATTGTGTGCTATGGCAGATATAATAATGAGTAAAACACTCTACTTCAAGAAGTTTATCTTTTAGTGGAGAGATTAGAATTATATGCCGCTAACTTCATATCATGTAGGTGAGGAACAAATCCTAAGGGGCTACAGTCCATGTGTGGATTCAGAAGGACCATTGGGGAAGTGATAGGCTCTTTGGAGGCTGGGTTAGAGTTTAGGAGGGGAAAGGAGTGGTGAGAAAATTGCAACAAAAGGGACTCAGGCCATTTTAGGGAACTGGGGGTTGATCCTTTTGGATCGTGAGGAGCCATTGAAGGTCATGAGCTTTGGAGTTTCCTAGTGCCACAGTGTAGGTAGATGGCAGTGGGCACAAGTGGCAGGGAGCAGGAGAAATGCAGGGTAGGGCTAATTTTGGTTTCTATCCAGAGGCAAATGGAGAGCTAGCATTCACTCACTTACTGTAGACTAGGGACAGCATTTTACATCCACTACCCTGTTTACTCTTCCCTCTGAAGTAGGTATATTAGTGGCTTCATTTTGCAAATGAGGAACTCAGAGGAAATAACCAGTGTTCCCAAGTCACACAACAAACAGACTTAGACACTGGCCTTTAGCCTACCCCTGCCTTCTCAGAAGGTCCTTCCTAGTCCTGCAAATGGATTAGAACTGCCCTGTCCATTTGGTCTAAGCAACCCAATTAGTGGAGAATTGGATCTTGTTGTTAACCTATGTGTTAACTATGTAGGTAACCCTAATGCAGTTTCAAAGCATTTTTAGGTAACTTGATATCTTTTTTTTTTTTTTTTTTTTTTGAGACAGAGTCTCACTCTGTCTCCTAGGTTGGAGTGCAGTGGTGTGATCTCGGCTCACTGCAACCTCTGCCACCTGGGTTCAGGTGGTTCTCTTGCCTCAGCCTCCCAAGTAGCTGGGATTATCGGCGCCTGCCGCTGTGTCTGGCTAATTTTTGTAGTTTTAGTAGAGACAGGGTTTCACCATCTTGGCCAGGCTGGTCTTGAACTCTTGACCTGGTGATCCACCTGCCTCGGACTTCCAAAATGCTGGGATTATAGGCATGAGCCACCGCACCTGGCCACTTGATATCTTTTAAGAGAGGATTTTTTTTTGAGATAGGATCTTACTCTGTTGCCCAGGCTGGAGTGCAGTGGCATGATCATAGCTCACTGTGACCTTGAATTCCTGGGCTCAAGTGATTATCTGACTTCAGCCTCCCCAGGAGCTAGGACCACAGGCATGTGACACTACACCTGGCTAGTTTTTTAAGTTTTTTGTAGAGAGGAGGTCTCACTGTGTTGGCCAGGCTGGTCTCGAACTCCTACACTCTAGCGATCCTCCCACCTCAGCCTTCAAAATGCTGGGATTACAGGCATGAGCCACTGCACCCAGCCGAGAAGTAATTCTTAGAAAATACCCTTGGGGTGATTTCTTCTTCAAATAATTCTCTGAACAGCTGCCATATAGTAGCTGCTAAAATATATACAGTTCTTGTTGTTCAACTTTTTGCCCTTCCACAAAATCAGAAATATTTTTTCTGGACATGTATTTGGCATCCAGGTAGAAAGAACACAAATGGCTTGAATGTGTCTCCCAAAATTCATGTGTTGGAAGCTTGATCCCCAGTGCAGAGGTTTTGAGAGGTAGGGCCTAATGGGAGTGTTTGGGTCATAGAGTAACTGGCCTTTTAAATTATTAATGCTGCTTTTGAGAGAATGAGTTCCTCCTAAAAGGACAACTTTGGCCTTCTCTTGCTCTCTTTCTTTTCCCTCATTTCTCAACTTCTCTTACCCTCTCTCACCTTCTTGCCTTTCTCTATGGAAGGGCAAACCTCTTAGCCTGAGAACTTAGAACAGCTGACACATAATAAATGTTCTTAAGTACTTAAAACAGCTGACTCATAATAAATACACAGTAAACATTAACTATTTTTTAAATTAATTTAGTTTTTTAGAGACAGGATCTTGTGTTCTCATGCAGGCTAGAGTGCAGTGATACAGATCATGGCTCACTGCAGTGTCAAACTCCTAGACTCAAGCGATCCTCCCGCCTTGGCCTCCCAAATTGCTGGGATTACAGGTATGAGCCACTGTGCCTGGACAATACTAGCTATTAATATAGGAAGAACACATTACCAATAACTTTGGGTAGGGTATCTTTGCCTTATGCAAAGTAGACAGATAAGTCTTGGGGATCTAAGTTTATAACAGGGTTCTTGACATCAAAAAATTACATTTTTAATTGGGGAGGTAGGGTATCTGTGCTAAAAATGAATTTTAGGACAGTAGAGGATAGCATGTTGCTAAGGCTAAATAAATAGTATGGGCAGGTGTGCTTATAGGAGATGGGGCTTGAAGTTACCATTCAAATAAGGAGGAACTTTAGGTAAAGGAGCAGAGGGGTACAGATTCTAGGGCAAGGAGATTTGCATGCAAAGGTGTAGAGGTAGGAATATGCTCAGCTTGTCTAAGAAATAACATGCCACTATAGCTGATGTAACAATTTTGCAGAAGTTTGGAATGGGTTCAGATAGCAAGTCCCTGTCATGTAAAGGGGTTAAGTTTATCCTTGTTCTCATAGCAGTGAGTTGCTGATAGCTGCCAAGCAGTTTTGGCTTCTCATCTGGGAAGCTAGAGTCACAGAGTGAAGCAAGCATGGATTTCTTCTGCCAACATGGGTGTTGCCCAGACAGGGTTGCCCACTGTCCTGGAGAAGAGCCCTTTTATTTACCAAAACACAAGAATTTATCATGTTTACTACTCATCAACACAGAAACGGCAGTTTCTTAGCACATGCAAATATATTTTTTTCTTCCATCAGCTCTCTCTCTGGTGCTAGGAAGACTAAGTAACCATAAAGACCCTCTCCCTAGCAACCATCAAAGAGTCTTTCTGGGATCCCCGCATACTCACCCTGTCTTGGGCCTATATTGTCGTTTTTCTTGTTGTTGTTCCTCATGCCACCTTGTCTAAAAAAACCAATGTCTTAATTCCTTCTCCCTAAGGGCTAGACCAGGCTTCCCGTGTTTTGTAGGATGTTTAACAGCATTCCTGGCCTCTACTCACAAGAGGCCAATAGCATCCCTGAGCTGTGACAACCCAAAATGTCTCCATCTATGGCCAAATGTCCCCTGGGGGCAAAATAACCAGACTGAGAACCACTGGTGTGGACATCTCTGTATAAGAGTGTACTCCATGAAGGAGGGGAGATGTGGCCTTTCTCCTTATCACCTGGTAGGAAACTTTCTTGAACTATTTGCCATACTCAAGTTT